ACAGAGGGACTATAAACTAAGACATTAGGTAGACTGATTAGTTATTATGACTTTACCCTGGTCTTTTTATGTGGTCAGGCCTCTGAAGATTTCTTGTTATTTAAATCTTAATGTTTTTAAGTGGCACAAAGGGGCACCTGGGTGGCTCAGTGGGTTAAAGCCTCTGCCTTCAGCTCAGGTCATGATCCCAGGGCCTGGGATCGAGCCCCACATCAGGCTCCCTGCTCAGCAGGGAGCATGCTTCCCCCCTCCCACCCACCCCCACTCTTTGCCTGCCTCTCTGCCTGCTTGTGATCTCTGTCTGTCAAATAAATAAATATAATCTTTAAAGTGAGCTGAACCTTCCATATTTAAAAAAAAAAATAGTGGCACAAAAATGATACAATTACAACTTAGTTACCCACTTGTAAGGTATATTCCAGACTCTGTCTCTCTTTTTTTCTCATATACAGTGAATAACTTTGGCTGTCCCTGTAAACCTAGCAACAACAAAGCCACTCTTCTTTATTTCCCAGTCACATGGCCTGCTCTAGCTCTTGGGAGAGAGAAAGAAAAGAAAGAACTGGGGAGCAAGTTTCCTGTAAGCTGCAAGGACTGGACGCCTCTGCAGTTTCTCTTCCAGGAGCTGGTGGGATAAAGGCAGGTCAGGAGCAACGAAGGTGTTTCTGAAGGCGTGGTGGCCTCCCCTGCCCTGCCCCTCTTCTCCTTAGCCAAGAAAACTGTCCTCTCGTGGTGCTAATGAAGCACCAGGATGGATGTGTGGTGGTGGGTGGGATGATTCTGGAAGTTGGTGACTGAATACAGAAACAGCAACAAATCTCAGGGCTGTCTCCAAGTCACCTCCCTCGCCTTGCTTCTTGCTCTCTGCCCCTCACCCAGCTCTAGCCACAGTGGCCTCTCGCTGCTCCTGCCACCTTGAGGCCTCAGTACTCTGCCTCTGATGCTTATCCCCTAGATCCCCGGATGGTTTGCTCTTCCCTTCCTTCAGGCTCTGCACTGGCCTTCCCTGACCACTGCCTCTAAAACTGCACTGTCTCTATGCCCTAGTCCCCCTCCTGGTTGGTACCACAGCCCTTTGAAGAATCTGACATGTTACAAACAGTGTTGTTTACTGTTTATCTCCCCCTGACAAGAACATCAGCTCTGGGACAGCACCAATGTTTGCTTTATTCAGTGTTCTATCCCAAGTGCTTAGAACAGTGCCTGGCACAGTAGAAGGCTCAAGAAATGTTTACTAATTGAATGAAAGCAAATGAGGGGGGAGGAGGGACGGTCAGGGGTCATGTTTCAAGGTCAGCCCCTCCAGGACACCACAGGGGGACGGGTACTGGACACCTGTGGTTAGGCACAAGCTTCGTCTATCAAGGAAGAAGTTTCTGCTTGCCTACCCGGCTACAGGTAAAAGGCTCAGGAAAGGAAGAAATTATTTCTTTGAATGAAAACAGACGCACAAAAGATATCTTTACCCACAAAACAATTATATCCTCCCTTAAGAAATTAGACTGCCGTGATCAAGACAATTCCCGCCTGAGTCCTTTGCCTTCGTAGTCACCATCTACAAAAAAATCTGAATTTTTAAAGCCAGTGTACCATGTGATTGGGCTTTCCCAGAGGAAGAGTTTCCAGGATTGCCAGATCTCCTGCTTCTTAGATGGGGAAAGTGTTAGTCATTCAGCTCTGTAGCACTCTCCCTCTGGGTGTCAATTTAAAATCATTGAGCTTTTTCAGATACAGTGACTAGGAAAGCAAGTCAGTCATCACAAGCAATAGAAGCTGAGGGTCAAATGTCACCAACTAATCATCCTGTCATTGGTCAATTACCCATCCCCATGAAGAGGTGCCACTGATCTAGTTTCCTATCAATAAACGTCTGTCTGGGCACATCAGCAGCTGCTAACCATGGCCTGCCAGGGTATCCAGCATTGTCCACAGGCACCGATGGTTAAGAAATCCCTTTCTCTTTCTTCTTAATAATGTCACAGAAGCGGCAAATGCAGATCCTGACAACATAATGTTAGTTTCACAGAGACGTGTCTCTTTCAGTGCTCAGCCAGTTACACAGGACTTCAATTGCATGGATTTTCTCACTGCAAGAACAATAGCTGGGCTTAAGGAAGTCTGGTGGCTGAGATATACAATTCTGCCTTTGGTTGTGCTCATGCTCATTACTGCCACTCTGAGTCCCGGAAAGAAAAAATAGTTTGGGGGAACCATTTTCATTCATAATTAAAGAAAGCCACATGGGCGCTGTTTTCTCTTGCTTTAAGCCTCAGTGACACCTAGAGTTAGATCGATCATCTCTGATTGTTTGGGTAGAGCTAGAGGTCAAGGTGGCCTTGCCACACAAACAGCCTGTTTGTCCCACTTGGAGCTGTCACCCTGGCGGAGAACTCATGTGTTCCTGCTGAATCTAAAATTCTAGATCTCCTACTATACCTGCTGTAATTTCCCCTCTATCCTTGACAGACTACCTCATCTACACATTTGATCTGTCAAGGGATGCTTATTCTGAGTTGCCACAGGCTTTATATGTCAGGGGGGCTGGGAAGAGACAGCACGTAAATGATTATAATCCAAATATGACAAATGCTCCAGTAGAACGCACATACAGAATGTATGGGGATCGCTGAAGAGGGAGGTCTGAATCAGCCCAGGAAATGATGGGAGGTTAGGGAAGCATTCCTGGAAGAACGAAGTCTTGAAGGGGGAGGAAGAGCAGGTAAAAAAGAGGTGATGGGGAGTTTGTGAGAGACACCAGCCACGAGAACAGTAGGTTCCGAGAGTTGAAGGCACAAAGGTGAGAGAGGGATGGCATGTGCAAAACTGCGAGTAGTTGGACAGGATGAAACTGGCACGTATGGGGGTGGATGGAGAAGCAGGAGACAAGGCGGTGTCGACAGAAGCACGTCAGATTGTTCTTAAATGCCTTCATCTGAATTTTCTCCTGAAGGGGCATAACCACGTCAGATCTGGGGTGGGGAGATGGTTGCAAGTGGGGAAGGAAGGGCCAGATGGAAGTCCGGCAGACCAGGGGGAGAAGAAAAACCACAAAGGTACAACTGTGGTAATGGTACTGGAGATGGGAAGAGCGGAAGACTTTGTGAGATATTCAGGAGCCAGTACTGACAACTGGCTGAGGAGGGGAGGTGAGAGAGAGGAGTAAATTCGGGAAGACTGCCATGTTTTTGGCTCAGTCTACAGACAGATGGGTGGTGCCACTGAACGAGAGGGAGGAAATCTCAACGTTACTTGAGCGGGCAAAGGGGGGATAATGGGATTTCATGTCCAACGCGTTGGTGTGAGATGCACATGTAACACTGCTGAGCGTGGGGCTGGAGTACAAGGTAAGCAGACAGAATACAAGCAACATTGGAAGAGAGTGGGAAGAGCTACTAAGCTGCTGGTTTGCCTCTGTCTTCATTGATGAGAAGACTGGTCTTCAAATTAGAAATGGCAGAACAAACATAATAAAGAGAGAACTGAAGCCCCAAATAGGTGAAGTGAAAGAAAGAGAGTATCCAGTCAATTTAAATGATTCCAAGTCTCCTGGCTCTGGTGAGTTACACCCCACGGCCGCTGAAAGAAATTGCAGATGTAATCTCAGAGACACGACTGGTAATCTTAAAGAAACTGTAAAGACTGTAAGGAGTGCCAGTGACAGGAGAAGGACAATGGTTCCCCAGATTTTTACAGTGAAGAGGAATAGACTATAATGGGAAATATTAGGTAAGTTTCCTACCATCAATGCCAAAAATTCTAGAATGGCTTACTAAATAGCCTATGACTGCCTTAGTTAATGCATGCAGCTGAGATAAAAGGAAGGATGGAGTCTTGTTTGCCATCTGATGGAGGTTTATTTGCACTGGTAGCTTGTCCAGACTGACTGTGGCTTCTCCTTCCCCTTTCTTAGGCACCAAGAGGGTTTGTCTGGTCCACAGCATGAGGCCAAGGCTTCTCTATGTGTGTGATAGGTTGCCTACGTTACTCAACCTGTATGTGGCCCTTTATGAAAAGGAGTTGACAATTTAAATGAAGAAATCCACAGTGAATTCTCCCACAAATCCAACATCATTCATCAGGGTGGCCCCCGGGACCAGCAGGTTGCAAAAACCTCTGTGGTCATTAGCCTAAACATCAATACACGTTTGCCGGTTAAAATCCTACTACCTTACTTTTTGTGCTTTTTCTCTCTTTATACACAAAGACTTGAACATAAGAACAGGGAATAACAGAGCAAATGTGGTAGAACATGATGGTGGGGGGTAGGCAGTCACACCCCACCAAGATCTCCATCCCTGGCAGGCTCAGATATCATGTAAAACACCTTACCTACTGTTAAACATAAATGTATAGACATTAGTCTTTCAGAGACCTCCTTGGAACGTTCAGAAAAAAAGCAAGAAAAGGGCAGCCTATTCAATACATTCCACATGGCTCTCTTGAACTAAAAGTATCTCCTCTGGGGGGTGTCACCAGTATCACATTTTAAAATTTTATGATCCTATAAATCAAGCAAAGTTGGGTTAAAGTTCCTTTCTGAAAACAAAATAAAACAAAATGAAAACAACCATCCCAAACCCAGATTATCATTAAGGAGATTTTTTTTTTTTTTTTTTTTTTTTTTAGTACCAGGCCTCATAGTCACATGTTTGGTTCAGATGTAAATTTTTTGGTGTTGAAAATTAGTTTTGAATCTATATAACCTCTCCTGACATTATCCTCTAAGTCCTTAACCAACACAAACTGAGACTTAAGAAGGAGGTGGGCCATACCCAGGAGAGGCCTTTAATCTACTCTCACCGCAAGCCTAATTTTGGTGTATTCCCCAAATAATTCTCCAAACAAGCCCCCTGTTTCTCCATGTTACCCTGCTTCAATATTTAGAGCAAACAACAGGAATGTATCTTCACTGAAGTTATTAGGATCATCATTGTTCCGAAAAAGAATCTGTACACGTGTCTTCCTTTTTAAAAGTAATGAACGAAAAGGATCTTTCTTACCGTATTGACCCGATCATGTACGGCTGTGCCAGCTGAACCACAATCGCACCACTTCCTAGCTGGTGACACGTATAGCCGGAATCCCAGTCGTAATTCTTGGTGTCGCCATTCAGCAAGGCATTTCGGCTCCGACTGACTCCTTCAATCACACTGGCGCAATCCGCAATTGTTGCAACGTTCTCCATGGGAACTGTGAGCCCAACACAAGATTCAGCGTCAGGATAAGAGAAGCTAAACATATCCTGGTAGGCTGCTGTGAACAAAATGAATTACTATCTCACATCAATGATAAAGGGGAAATTAGAACTCCTCGGTTATCGCAAGACCTGAGCACATTTTCCATGCCAAATTGCCTCAGGAAAAAAAGTTGAATCTAAGATTGGAACAAAGAAAACCACATGTAGTAATTAACCCTGAAGCATTTTACTATGAGGAACCATGATGCCCCATAAAACACAGAATGGATAAATATATTTCAAAATATGACTACAAAGGGAAACTACACATTAATTGACCTTAGTGAACTATGGTTATGTACAGATAGATAAGTTGAAAACCATAATGTTCTTTTCCTAAAAAAAAAAAGAAAAAGAAAAAAAGCCTTGACTTCTAAAACACCCAAAACCAAAAGAACGAGAAAAACATATAATGTTGAGTGAAAAAAGCAAGGCACAGAAAAACAGATTATGAATGCATTTATACAAAGTTTTTAAAAAGACAAAACTAGAAACATGCTTCATTTAGGGATACATACATAAATATAAAACTAAAAAGGAAATATAGGGAATTATTATATTAAATACTGGATAATGTGTCTGGGAAGAGGCGAATGAAATCTTGCAGGGACTCCCACCAATAGTCCAAATATTAATTGATTTCATTTCCAAGATGAAATCTTAGGGGAGCTTCAGAAGTACTGGCTTTGTTCTAATTCTAAGCCAGGTGGTGGGTATATAGACACTTGTTTTATCACTAGTCTCTAAACTGTATAGACTTGTTACATTCAGTAAATATCAATTTGTTTAGAGAAATATGATATACACATAGATTCAGTGTTTTAGAATTCATAAAGCAGGAAGATGATCTAGGAAATGGTACCAATACCTTTTCAGAATACACTGTTGCCCTCAGCCATGACTTGTTTACCTTTTCTGTTTGTTTGTTTACTATTCTGGGCATTTCAACACCTAATGTTCTTCTCTTTGTTCATGAACTGCTATATTCTGAAACACCAGATCTGTTTTGATTTTGAGTTTCTCTCTCTACTTCAAATCCACATCAACCTGTTCATTTATAAAAGCCAAGGTCTTCCACAAAATGCTAGCTATCTAAAAATGATGTAGAATCTCTAACCATGGAGAAGAGAGCAATAAAAGGTAAGGGCCTTTTAAGTCCCCTGGGACCTTTTCTGTGCATTTTCTAGTGTTGGGGTTTTAATTTAATTTATTATTCAACCCAAATCTACACTTAGGCCCAGCTACTTGCCTTCAAGATTTGCAACTTACTTTATATAATTTTAAAATAGGTTGTGAAAAAAAAAGACAATTTCTCATTAGATATATACTGTAGTTTTCAGGGTAATATTATATACTCTCTGAAGAGAGAGAGGGTGAGCAGTACTACCATCATGCCAAAACATTTCCACCTTAATAATGACGTGGAGTACGTAATTTTACATGTATCTTCTAAACCACCATGTATTTACTTTCCAAAGCTGGGCATGCCTGACTTGAGCCCTCATCTTCTACAGCTTCACTGCTTTGCTCTCTGTGGATGAGGAAGTCATCCATAGATAAAAAAGGGAGAAGGGGAAGGAGAAAGGAAGAGAGGATGGATTTCTGGTAATGAATCCCTTGACTGTCAAGCTTAACTCCAAACAACAAGCAAACACATTGGTGAAATAGCCTCGAAGGACAGTTTCCTGGCAGAGAAGGAAGGGGCTCAAAAAGAAGTTCCCCGGGACTCGGAAAGACAAGGAAGGACTATATTTGGAGGCTAAGTCATGATACCTCTATCTCATGGAAAAGGGGAAGTATTGGGTGATTTGGAAGTTGGAACTTAAGGAAGTGGTGCAAGGTGTATGGTAAATTGAACTGAGACAAAAAATAATACTGTAGACAGGAGCTTAGGCTGTAGGAACAGCCCCCATTCTCCCTTTCCACAGTGCACATTAATTTATGTACTTATTTTTTTGTGTACCCTATGTGTTCAGTGATGATTAGAAAAGTGGTTTTGCTCATTGTATTAGACAAGGGCCCAAGTGACAGAGGCTTTGTATCCATATGAATTTCCTCAGTTACAGCAGCAATGAGAAGAAAGAAAGCCCGGTCCTGATTCTTAAGACATCCCCCAAAGTAACACACATCACCTCTCTCACATTCCGGGGCTCAAGGCAAGTTCCAGGGCCTTGCCTAACTTCAAAAGGGGTGGGAGAGTGGGACCCTGCTGCATGCCCAGAAGAAAGGAGAATGCTTGGTGAATAATATTAACATTTACCACAAACATTAAACCATGATGAAGGAACATTCAATAGAAAGATAAATCTAGTCCATTCATGTGAGGTCTAGAAAATATTTCAACACATAAACATGTCAAAATTTATTTATCTAATCTGCTAAGGGATGTTTTGATTGTTATCACTGTTTTCTTTGCGATTACAAACAAAGGAGTCTTGTGTACATGGTAAGGGTTTCTTAAAGGAATATATAAGATATTATACATGTATATATGTGTGAATTGGACTCACAGCTATGAGTTACCTTCAATTCTCCTGGCTATTGCCAAATTATTCGTCAAAGTGGTTGTAAAAATGTACATCCTCAACTCATTGTTTCACGTCCTTACCAACTCTTGGTAATGCCAGACAGATGAGTGTGTTATCTCAATGTGGTTTCAGTTTTTCATTTTTCTGTTTGAAGACGTTGTAAAGCTCCCCCCAACCCAAGAATCATTCTCCATCTTTCTTCTGTAAACTACCTATATTTATCTTTTGTCTATTTTTTTTTTACTGTTTTTCTAATTGATTTGTAGGATGCCAATCTTTTATTGGTTAATGTTTTGAGGTGAAACATTCATCTTTTAAGATTGGTGCCTTTCCCTTTTCTTGTTTATAAATTCTTTCCTACCCTCAATCCATAAAGATATTGTCCTGTATTTTATTCTAAAAGTTCTTAAACTTTGCCTTTCACATGTGGTTCTTTAATCTATTCAGGATTTATGTTTGGTATACCGTGCGTGACAGAGAAAATCTACTTTCATCTTTTATTCTTAAGGTGAGCCAATTTTGCCACCACCATTTAATGAACTTTTGCCCTCACTAACTTATGTTATTTCAGCCACACACAGTTTTCATAGATATTCGTGTCTCTTTTTAAGAATTATGTTTCGTCGATTTGCCTAGCCTTGTGCCTTTACCGTGCTGCTTTACTATAATTTTATAGTAATCTTAAAATCTGATAAAGTGAATACCTTTGTTCCCTCGCCTTCCCCTTCTTCTTTTCCTTTTTTCTTCCAAATTGTTTCTGATACTCTTGGCCCTTCCAGGAAAAATTTTCATTTTATCTACCCTTTCAAATATAAATTTTCATAGTGTGTCCTCTTTTTCATCCCAAATATTTGTAATTGTACTTTTTCTTTCTTTTTTCATCAGTCCTACATAGCTTGTCTCATTTATTAGTGTTTTCAAAGGACCAACTTTTGGCTTTGTTGATTTCTTTATTTCCTACTTCACTTAATTCTGCTCTTGTTTTTATTTTTTAATAATTTTTTGGGCGGGGAGGGGAGAGAGCATGTGCAGGCATGAGTGGGGGGGCGGCGAGGGGCACAGGGAGAAGGAGAATAAACTCTGAAGCAGGTTTTACTGCCCAGCACGGAGCCAAACATTAGGCTGGATCCCAAGACCCTGGGATCAACACCTGAGCCGAAATCAAGAGTCTGCCATTTAACCATTTAACTGACTGAGCCACCCAGGCATTCCTCCTCTTCTTTTTATTATTTCTTCCTTTAATTCCTTTTAAATTACTCTGTTTTGTTTTTTATTTGTTTTTTTTTTAATTAAAGATTTTATTTATTTATTTGACAGACAGAGATCACAAGCAGGCAGAGAGGCAGGCAGAGAGAGGGGGAAGCAGACTCCCCATTGAGCAGAGAGCCTGATGCGGGACTCCATCCTAGGACCCTGAAATCATGACCTGAGCCGAAGGTGGAGGCTTAACCCACTGAGCCACCCAGGCACCCCTGTTTTCTAACTATTTGAAGTGAAACTCATTAACTCATTAATATTTCTTCTTTTTATACAGTCAAAACTTCTTTATTCACACTCACCCAATTTATTTTGGTTATAAAAAGTATATTTGGTTATATAAAAACCATTACTGTTTTTTATATCCTCCTTTCTTCTTGGTTCAACTTCCTTCTTTCTAAGATACATCCATTAGTATTCAGCAAAGTCTCTGTTTGAAAGTTCATTTTGTCACCACTCTTGAAAAATAGGTTAACTGATATGGAACTCCTGGTTAAAAGCTGTTTTTCCTCAGCACTTTGATGATATTATTCCATAGTCTCCTGGTTCTACTGTTAAGTCTGCTAAAGTCTCCTATCCCTCTAACTTGTAATTGTTTTTTGCCTATAGTTAATTTTAAGGTTATTTTTCTTTTGTTTTTTGTGGGTTTTGTTGTTGTTGTTTTGGTTTTGGTGTTTCTCAATTTCACTCAGTTGTACCTAGAGGCAGACTGAATTTATCCTTCTCAGGACTGAATATGAGCATTTGTGGCTCTTATCAATCTGGAAAAATTTGGTCATTATTTCTCTGAATACTGATTCTCCTTCCTTTTCTTTCCTTTTTTTTTTCCTTCTAGAATTCCTACCGGACTCTGTTGAACTTTTCATTCTGTCTTCCACATTTCTTAACCTTCCTTTCACTTTTCTCTCTGTACCTCTTTTTGAAGTATTCTAGGCAATTTCTTTTTTTTTTAGATCATTTATTTACAAACAGAGATAGAAAACATATTTATAACACATTAAGTGAATACAAAAATGATTTACTTGAGGTTCACATTTAATAGCCAAAAGTCTAAAACTATAAACCTTGTCTTACATGGTCAAACAAGTACCTGGCTCTAATAACACTTTGATTTGTATCATTATCTTCTATGATTTCATTTTCCACATTATGGTATTTTTGTTAGATGT